ACCAGTTAACGGTAATGGATCGAAGTGCAGAAATCGGCATCGAACCTAGCAAGACTAAAGTCAAGGTCACAACGTTAACTTCTAAATGTTAATTTTTTATTTGCCGCCTACTACACTTTTTCACGGTAGGGCATTATGTGAAATGCAACCATAATGATGGTGAGATATTCGCGAAACTCCGGGCCGCATGTGTCTGCGGTGGGGATCTAACACGTTATTACCCTCTCCGAGAGCTAAACGTTCACCAAAGCACCATACGGGTCCTTCGTTTCCCCTGTCTTTTAGCTAGGTTTCGATCTACCAGCGCCGTCAGCAAGTAGTCGTCAAAGGGATCGATCTGGTTAACACAAATCGAAATGGAACCCAGTTAATCTGAGGCTATTTAAAGCTGAAGAAGAGATTTTCGTGTGGTTTAGAAAGAGAAGCACTGATCTAACAAAGGCTATTAAAAAGCACATTGAAGATGTTCAAATTGAAATGCACACGCAACTGCACAGAACCATCGTCCTTAAAGTGAATTGTTGAATCGTCGTTAAAGGATTTCGGGAAGTTTCTTCGTTTGTTTCATTAACTCGCAACCGTAGAAGTGGTTCATTTGCTGCAAGAAGTTGACGTTGAGCACACGGAGTCCTGTATCCCTACTGGCATGTTGAAATAATTCTTTATTAAATGAAATTCCCTCTTCCTCACAGATAATAGCCAGCTGCAGATGATTTGATTTTCTTCCGGAGGATCACTGGAAGGAATTAACGCATTAGGTACCGCATGCCTTGTTCTATCCGAAGGAACATGATAGAAAAATACGTGTAGGCTCAATAAAATCGGAAGAGTATGGAGAATCTTTATTTTGCAAACCAGAAGAAAAACACATAATCGTTTTTCATATGCAACCAACAATGGACAATGAGCTATCCGAAAACAAAAACGACTTCGTGATAGTTGTGTCACGAAGTTGTCAACCCAGATTAGGTGCAGGTGGTGGCAATAGATCCCCACTCCACCTAGAAAACATTAGGTGACCACGTGCAACACAGCAAATATGAGAAAAAAATATGGAAAAAAAAATCGCAAAAAATTATTGAAAGGGAAGATCTAAATTCTCATTCGCTTCCTTAATAGGAACGTGTCACATTGTCCCTTACGTCTTCACCTTCTTCATAACCATTCTGGAATGCTAGTCGACTGAAGGCGACTCTCAACTCTAGAAATTTCAGTCGTTGAATCGGAAGACTATGATAAAAGAAGACCACGACGAAAAACAAAAAGCGATGATAAGGGAGCAAGAAAGACGCCAAAACATTGGATAATGAAGAAACACAACGTAGAGCAAAGTCAATAAATTCTCCGCTCAACTCAGGACATGCTTCCCTTCAGCAATGATTTCAAAAGCGTCACCGTCACTAAACAGTGAGAGTATATCGAAGGCTCAGTCGATTTCATCAGTTTCAACCATGTTCGGCTCTATAGAATTCAAGCGTTGACCAACTCGAAAGGGTAAATGACGATCTCACGATCACAGAAACATGTCATGTGTCACATCAAAGCACAGGACTTATGGGTAACATCGATGGAACCGTTCTCAATTACTTCTCAATAATTTTCAATAGTAGTGAATTCGGAGTTAACCAACGTCGTTTGTTTGTATACACAGAGCGTAGTTATGACTGCCAACTGGACCCGTGTACAAAAGAACGGGACAATCTCAATCAGTGAGGTTCACGAACAATATGTTCGATTGAAAGCTACACCTGTTCACGATTAGCAAAACAATTTTCAACGGATAAACCACACTATTACTAGTATACTAATACTAGAACATACTATTATCAATGGATAGTCATATCAACAACAACGGCCCTGTATAAAAGGACACTGCCTGTGAGCATGGTTCATTCGTGCGGTGTCCACTGAAGAAAATCCCGTCTCGGTACGACAACGAAGACGCCAGATCGAGATCACGAACAACTGTGGACCGGTGACACGGATCATCGGCTCTGATGCGAACGAAGATGTTGAAACGTTAGCCCAAGTAAATATCTATATCAACATCGTGTAAGCTCAACAATTTAAAAACATGTTCATGATTGACGCAAAAGTGTTTCTTAGGGTGACAGACTGCTCAAGAAGAAAACACATATGAATGGAATGTGCAAGAGAATCAAAATGTATTTTCCAAGCTGGCTATTCAGCAGATGATGAAAAGAGCGCAACTGAACGAATCGATAACAGGTGCAAAATCGTAAAACGTGAAAAGATAAATGGGACATTAACATTGTGGCTATGGCACCAGTCAATCTTTCGCCAAGCCACCGAACCCGCTGGATGTGCAAAGGATTTCGGTAAAGCAGTTCAAAATTCACGCATAATACAGTAAGTAGTCTACATTCACCTTCAGTTGCCTACGTACTATGCCAAAGATGTACAGTACCTATTGATGATTGGTCATTATAGGCACGCATAGAACTTCTATAAAGTACGAACATGTCCTTAAAGTTTCTTCTATAAGTCACCATTTTACTGTGATGAAGTAGCCCAGTTTTCGAAAATGGAGGTAGAAGTAGAGCAGACATGCTAATAGACGCCCTGCGGGGTTTATAGAAAGGAGTGTGTTTTTCCGAAGAAGTTTTATCTAGATTACTAAATTTGGGAAAGAGATTCTATCAACAATGCTTCGCAGAATAACTTCATTACGTAAGCAGTCATTTTAATCAAAAAAATTTTGCCAAAACTCTTTTTGTCAAAAGAGAGGGTACCCTGTGAAATAAAGCCCACTCTACCTTACCTATGCAAAGACAGTGCACAGACAGCAAGCAACCACCGGGTCAAAGAAATTAGTATGGTGAAACAAGAACGTGGAACTACGTCAAACGAACCATATTCTGCAGAGATTTGACGGCCGACCTTTCTGGATCCACCCGAACAAAACACTTGCGTTTATCTGGGAAACAAAACACTTCAGGTTAGGCTTGAATGGAACATGATCAGCTAAAACTTAAGAATGAATCACAAATAATTAGGAAATAAAACCGAAAAGAAGTTGTCATTTGGTAAGGAAAAAGCCCTGGTATTTCAGGGTGACGGAACAAATTTACATTTGCCTTGATTGCAAAGAGATTTAGGTCAGGAGATTCTTCATGAAAATTAATAAGATTTCCCATAAATTAAAATATGTGCAGAACAATAAATGGAAGAGCGTTACCGAATGGGATTGTCTCATTCGAGTGGTCTAACGAAGAAGATCCGTCGCTACGACGAGGAAGATGCCATTTCGAGATCCGATGATAATGTCGCCTATTTGTAGGTAAGATGGTCTTCAAACGGTCAGAATATGCGAAAACAGAAAAATCTTTTCGCAAAAGAGAGCCTGCAAAGCACGTGTAGGTCGACAAGGTATGAAAGTAATGCAGCGCTGGTAGCACAGTTCGTCGGGGCTAACAAGCCTATCATCTCAACAGGGTCGAGAAATTTGCATCAAACTTGTCTGAAAATAGTTCGTTCCCTCTAATCCACGAGAAAATGCAATAGCAGTGCTATCTCATGATTCTAGGGAGATTCAATTCAACTAGTATGTAATGACATTCGCGACAACGAATGAAAAATCTTCAAGTAGGAGCTGAGGCCACACGTAAAAAAAGTCGGAAGATTTTGGTGGATTCTCGACAACAGGAAATTTTATACAAGTGCTATTATACGCACATGACACACGTGGTGACGGGTTATGTAATAACTGAAATAATAAATATTAACCAACTTTACTAAATGCTATAAGGGCGCGTGTGGCACAGTGGTCGGAGGAGCCTTGCGACACACACATCGTATCGATCTTAGCGCCCGTGGATCACCTAGCCTTCCAAAGCCTTCCATCCCTCCGGGGTAGGCAAATTGGTACCGGACTTGCCTTGAGGGATTGAACACTGGTCCGATACATCCATCGGTAGGCCACGGCGCGTCATTGTACATCGCAGCCCGACACCTAGGAACACCTCCGAGCCAAGATAAGGCGGTAAACCGTTGGAAGGCACTATCACTGATTCATAACTTTACAAAAACGACATTCGCAATGAAGATCGCACAATTTGCCATTATCGAAATTTCATTGGCAATATGGCAGTGTATAAGAATGATTGAAGAAGGCTAAGGAGCAGGGTTAAAAAAGAAGTCCAGCTATATCCTTTTAATTAACTAACGCCTTTTTCAAGCATACACACCCGATGAATTTCCTTTCTTTCACACTAGAACCGCAACGCTTTGCATAGAAAACAGAACCTGTATCAAAACTACTGAGAAAACAAAACTCACGTCTGGTTCAAGAAGTGATTTACAAGGAATCTCGAAAATGACTCCGTGTAAAACCGCACATGCGGCCACAAAAGTGCATCGCATCTTCATCTTTGCCACGATGTAAAACCGTACGCTCTGCATTTCTACGTCGACTAAACGCTACGACACCTTCGCAAGATGTTTCGCACACTCCGCCAATGACCAAACCTATAAAATCCGCATTATATGCTACCAGCCCCTGCAACTTAAGAGTAAGTCAGTGGGACCACTGTCGTTCTCTCATAGAATATGACTACCTTTAAAACTGCAAATGTTCTTCCGGTAACAGTGTTCTGTGACTTTCTGCGATAATGACTTGAAAACACAGCTCTGACACGGCTTTCTGTGAGTATACATGAAGACCCTATTAAACGACTACAAGAACCACTGTATGAAACCCTAGATGAAGAGAATATGCTAGTTTCGGGTGGTTTTTTCGAGATAGGTTAACTACGCACTCTAAACAAAGATCTTCACTAACTTCTTTGCGCACTAGAACATTATCAAGTACAAACTCTGTATGAATTCAAATATGAGAAGACTTTAGTTCGCCATTATGAGCATCAGAAAATAACCTGACAGAAACCACTATTGTTACCGCACCTAACATTATGCTCAAACTATGAATCTGAAACAAAATCTATAAAAAAAAAGTCGAAAATGCTGTTCACACCTCATTTTCATCGTCCATCGGGACATAATGCAACCGTAGAGGAAGCACTGGTCATTACGGTGTCAGCTTTTCGAATTGGAACAGGAGCACGTCGTTTGAAACAATGATGTACCATCCATAGCAAATAGTCGACACCGCTGTGAAACAACTGAAACAATACAACTCAGACAAAAGAAATTCGCAGAAAGGCAACTAGCAGCGGCCTACGTGAAGAAGGATATGAGCGAAGGTTTTTCGATCTACCACCATTTCAACATCGAGCACACGTTGTCAAAAATCTTCTCTGAACCATATTTCATATTTCCAGCGCATTTACGCCTAGTGTCCAGTTTATCTTCGAAAGCATATGGCTCTAATGAAACGCTTTTACCATTGTAGGGCACAATCTCTTTAAGTCTCTTTCTCAAGTGTCCTTCTTTCTCAGGACAACCTACAGCATTAGTGAGATCACCGGCAACACGATTTTCACCGCCAGAATAAGGAGAGATGTCGTCGTCATTATCAAGCTCAGCATATAGTTGCCTAAACCAAAATGCATGAATACACTCCCAACAGACTAGTCAAGGAAAAATAACACTTAAAAGCATGTTTCGAGCACACAGTCCACTAGAAATGTTCACCTGCAGTGTTATGAATCACAGAGCCCGGAAGTGTTTTCTCCTCAGTCGGCTTCGGCGCGCAAGACATTCCGTGTAACCATAAAAACTAACACCTTCAGGCACCGTAAATGACGGCTAACGACGTGTATTACGTAGAATACTTCGCCAAATTCAACGGGAATACCATCGAGTACAGTAAACGGTAAATGGTGAGCTATTTTTAGCGACACCACTCATCTGTCCAAAATAATCAGCGGGGTCACCGTCGATAGACGGAACTTTAGGAGCGAGGCACATGGTTTTCATATGGTTTCGAACTGCTAAAGAGAAACTAATCGCTGATGTTGACACAAAGAAATGAAAATGCATTTAGATGTACAGTCACCTCGGTTAACCAAGGTGCTCATCACCAAACAGAACTGTTGAAAGAATTTTAAAAGACAGATCGAAACAAAACATAATAGCTTTACGGCAGGATGATATCGAAGGTAAATAGCCAACGGAGAACCAGTACAAGATCTCATACTCGATTAAATGGTCATATAGATAACACTGTGATAAAAAGTGGAGAATATTGGGCATTACCATCTAATCATATCCTTAGCCTAGAAACAAGTTTGCTGGTTAGTTTATCGATTTCACAAACTTCACGGATTTTCTGCTATTATCCCACTATATGTTAGCAAATATATCCCAAAAACTTAGTGATTCAAAGCACGCACTGTTCGATCTCATCCAAATTTTCATGAGAGCACATTGAATCGTACCATTAGAGAAGAACTGAAGCGACAATCACACTGTTGGATAGATTCGATCAGATGTGTCTAATAATTTGGAATGAGGACACCTCAACACCATTGTCTACAAATCGAAATGCTCCCTATAGCGCTCGAAGGTTTAGTTCTGTGCACAGTGCTGTTTGTGGACGGTTAATTTTTACTTTTCAAAAGAAAAAATGGATAAAGCATGCCAAGAATGGATTTTTCGCCTTGAAGTTCTGATAAATTGAAGCAATAAACAAGGCTCTGAAGCCTTATAAATCACTACAGAATAGAGTGAAGAGAAACAAGGAAGGGAAAAAACCATTGACGTACCCAATTACCTATCGAGATCAAATGGTATTTTTAGCGATGGACAAATTTGACGAATTCCTTCCTCACCGACTTCCTCTTGGGATCTTCCATATTTATATTCAAATAGAATAAAATATAAGCAATTGCATTATTTACTGTAAGAACAACCCCTCAATTGTAGCATATCAACGTGTTCCGCATTTTGTCAAGCAAAAGTCGCCGTCCCGAAGTTACTTACTAAGTAGGAAACAAGCGTAACGTTTTGTGTAAGCAAAACGACTCTTACCTCTGTTGCCTTCTCAGCAAAACTAAAGTGGCCTTTTCTTCCTGCCCGCATGATTTTTCGTGCTTCTTTTCTGCTGTCAACGAGAACCTGCAACAACACCTAGGGCATAAGTTATGCACAACAACAAACACAACAGGTGCACGCACGTATGTATGTCTGAAGACGATAGAAAATAGTTAGCTATTTTAGACAAAGAAACAAACATAAAACGAGTAACCAAACGAAGCAACGCAAAAAAATGAAAATTTTATGGTTGAAGCACACGCTACCATTCATTTTTATCGGTGCGAAAGAGAACTTTATCAAACTGAAAAATATCACATATCAAAAATAGATGACTTATTCTAAGTTCAAGTTTAGTAAGATGTTAAACTTACGTACTGCACCATACATCCACAGAATAATACATGCATATTTGGATGGCTCGTCCTTACTGGTGGTGCGGGCCCCAAAAATATCTCCATTTTTTCAGAGTTTTGCAAGTTTAGCCATTGTGGTCCTCTGCAGTGCAGAGATTAGCCTAGCTAAAGTCTGCCCAGATCGTCACCACTACAGGTAGCCGCAGCGCCTGTGGGTTAGAGGGAGATTTGCCACCACGCGACTTGTTTGATATCAGGACGGTGATCAGTGGCGGATGCAAGGTAATGGTTTACTCTTAGCTTGGCTTCCTAATGGGAAAGCTGGGCTCTTTCCCAGCTTGGGAGGCTATGCCGAGGTGATGAATTCCTCAACTGTACATGGAAACCCGACACCCGCGAACACCTCCCGCCTACGATGACAAGGTAAACCGTTGGTAAGACATCAACGGAATAATAACACTCAAAAAATGCACAGGAATGAGACCTAACCATACCTTGACATCTTCTGGAATATCAGAATCTGACCTAAATAGTGAGGTGAAAAAAACCGCCCGGTGTGCACCGTCGTTGCCCACTATTAATCTGAGTACGATCACAGTCCAACAGAGATGGTCTGCATGAAAAGGCACTTATTCCTACCATCATTCCACCGTTGCATTCCAAGTCACGCGTTTTTTCAAGTAGTGATAAAGCCTAAGGATTAAATTATCTTTATTCCGAAATCGAATGCATCGTTAGTAAAAAACCCATTTAGAGTGAACACAAAAAAATCACACGGCGCTTTCGTGCACTTTGTCAATATTACAGGCAAGGACGATGGAACGTATAAGTTCCAGGTTTCGGTCTCCTAGAGCTACAGCTATTTCGAAACTTAGTTGCTCTATGGGAACATCCGTGGCAAACTCTACTGCCAACAGTTTTCTCAAAAAGTAGAACGGGCTTACTAGGTGGCTACGACCTGGTACCTTATGTGTTTTTCTGACGACTTCGTCCATCCGAATTCCATGGCAGCAACACTACAGAGACTGATATTGGTGAACAATCCTAAAAAATCGCGAATATACCACATATGATAAAGTGACTAAAATGTAGCACTTCTCGTCCATCCGCCCAGGAGCGAATGCCTCTAAGATTCCTGCCGTGGTCGCTGCCTTTAGTAAAAATGAAGAAGCATAAACACTGCAGCTAATGAGGGTGTTTATGGAACACGATCGCGTGTCGTCTGTCCTGCATGAGGTAAACACGTCTCACTACATCTCTTATCACACTCTTCCCATCTTAAAAGGACTAAGTCGCTGGCAGTGCCGTCACAATATCAGGAAGTATGATACCTTCCTATCATTTCGCGCTGAGAACTGGCTTCTGGCGATTTGGTGACTTATTAATTTACTACTAACGAGACCTCTTGATGTTCTAGGGATAAAAGGAAGTACTACATACTGTATTTAATCGAGATTTTCTGCTCGAAATATGGCGCCTTAGGGGTGACACAATTTTCTTTTCTCATAAGCTTCTTAGTCAATGACGTCTTTCCACATCCCATATTTCTAAGTTCAAAAGCAGCGATTATACCTCTGAATCGAATTATTTCGGTCCAAACACCACAACTGTATTGACTAAAAACTTAGGATCGGAGACACTACCACCAGAAACAGTCTATAAACAGCCTTCCATCCCTCTGGGTCGGGAAATTGGTACCAGACTTGTATAGGAGGATGCCAGCACTAACTCGATAAAAAGAAAAGCTAAAAAAAGCAAAAGAAAGAGTACCTTCAAGAGCAATCGAGAGAAGTCAGCATCATGTGACTCAACTCGAGTGAGTGTACAAATTTTGGCGGAAATGCTCCAGTTTTAACAAGTAGAGCTCAACAAAATTGGTTCTAAATGCAGAACGATGTGTTAAGAAATCACATGGGTGGTTTACATGAGCACAAATCTGCCTTTTAGAAACAGCTGTATGCAAAACATGTCCTTTCTTCTCCTTCACACTAATGTACGCTTCAATAATAAGAACCTCGAGAAGTGTTACTCACCCCATTGATTGCCGTGGAACAGGTCGACCTATTGCTAGCATTCCTTCCAACTACCACCACATAGAAATCGTTTGCTAAAGCTTAGCATTTTTAGGCAACCATGGCAGAGGTTGAACTGTTATTTGATGAGGCCTACTGCATTAAATCACTATCGAAAATATAAAACACATTGTGACTAACACGTAGGCACCATTAGGTGATGGGCTACAAAGAAAGTTTGCTTCAGGTGCTTTCTTCCCGTATCCACCCAACGCAGCTCAATGCTGGCGTCTGTTGCAGCTTCCATTCAGATGCACGAGCAAATGACTAGAAACACACGCTTGTATTGCAAAACACTACCATAAAGTCTGCAAACCAGATATCTAACATTGCATATGAAACTCAATATAAGACGGAGGAACTTAATAAATTCCTCAATCTTTCCTGGAAGCGCTAGTGCATCCCGCAGTTCAATGTTCTATCTCTTACCTGTAGAACGAAGTAAACAACAAGGTTTCTGTTCTGGACAGAGTTGATCGGCGAGGAAAGTAGAGAAGGTTGTTAAGAAAAAATGTGGGCAAATCATCAAGAGAATAATTCGATAAACCATTCTTTCGTCAACTATCCTGTCAGCAGCAGCTGGCGGTCGGTTGTGGTGCCCTTTTTCAGCTTCCTGATCAAATATATACAGTGCAATTTCAGTGTCTGTTACTACAGAAACGAATAAGAAAGTTTAATTCACTCAGTAAATAACAAAACCACTGAGTTAACCTACAAATTTATTACAATTACGTTATGATAAGCTAAAATGGAGAACATGTTTATTTAAGGAGCTGGCGGTCGCACTGAGCAAGGTAGGACCGTAGAAATGAAGGACTTATTATGTAGATGTTTCACCGCTAATGGTGTGCACTACCGGCATCACAGACTTCTGTCCTTCATCGATGCTTTCTTGACATTGTGCGTTTCGGAATTGAAAGTCGTGAATTCTACGAGGACTAAGAGGGGTCCAAGAAGACTCTAAAAGAAGTTCTATCATTCGACAAAAGCAATCAGAAATAATATGAATGAGCAAAATTAACTTATGTGGCACTTTGTTGTAAATTCTTATGAAGAAATAAGCATAGCGAATAGCTAAACAATCCGGACAGCCACTGGTGCATGACTTCAAAGGACGCTAACAAGACCTTTAAGACATTGTACTATGTTTTGTAGTTGCTAGTCGAAAATAGGCCTTCGAGTCAGTTCTCGGCACCCAGTAATCACTAGCTTTTAGCAGAATGCTCGACTTCGTGAATAAATGCCACGCGGGACTTTTCGTAGTAGTCACAAGACAATACCTCAAACTTGGGTAATTAAACCTTTATATACATAAATGCAACAATGATAACATGATAGTAACTATAGAGAAGTAATGGTAGAGGAACGAGACAAGTTAGAGCTCTGAGGTGCTAAGGCCTGTAGTGAAGTGAGGCTAACAATGAGGTAATGGCATTCAAACATTGTAATACCATTAACACAATATTAACAATAATAATGAGATTATAACGAAGTAGCCTTTGCTTAACCGTAAGCGATGCCGCGCCTCGTCTATTCGCGACCGGCGCGGCGGCTGAGGGAGACAGTATGCTGGGGGCGGAGGGAGGAGACTGTATGTCGCGGAGATGGAGACAGTATGCTGAGGTGGTGAGGGTTACAGACTGTCCGTGTTTCGGCCAAGCTAAGATTTCAACATTATAGCGATGAGGAGCATTTTAGTTGATCGATGAGGACTGTAAGTTCCATGAGTGTTGACGGTGCTATGGACAGTGAATGATGAGTCATCTACGGAACACAGTCAGGCGGCTGGTCGTGAATAACGCTGTGTCAGCAACGTGAACTTTGAGCATCGATGGGTGCCACAATTGCCTAAGGGTAAGGGCCAGTATGATAAGTGGCTACAAAACTGATAAGCCTATAGCGGCTTAGAGAATATGTAGCATAAGTTGGCCGCTTAGCCGCATTGTACACGTTGCGTGTACATTGTGGGAGGAATGGTACATGCCACCGATGGAGTTGCAAACAGAACGCATTTGGTAACACCCGCCACTACTGACATCGCACCCTAGACAAGCTGAGAAACAAGATACAATAATCTGCTGATTACTGAAGGATGAATGTGAGTGTGTGAATGAGTGTGATTGAATAAGAATGAATGACTATGACTAAGAATGAGTTGAAGTGATTGAGGATGATTGAGGATGTGGTTGTGAGGAGCGGATTATCCGCGCTACCGCTCGGGGGTAAGGTGAGTGATGGCATGTCTCCGCCTTCCAAGGCACCTGGCTTATATCGGCTGCGGGAGCCGCGAGCGTATGCAACCGCGGTTAATCTGGATTGTTGATCCTGGACCGCAGTAGACTGTACCTAACTGCCTGAAACATCAAACGTCATTAGCTTCGTTGTTTCGCAAGCAAGTAGTAAACTGTTCTATGGTTACGCCTCCTTCGGATAAGCCATCGTTGGTATGCTACTGAAGTCAAACCTGAATCGCTATTGAGCCTGAAACATTGAACATAATTGATCCTTAATACTGAAACATACAGTAGTAGAAAGATACAAATATATAGAAAGAAATAGAAACTATTCTGGGAATAGTTGCTATACTATGGTTGTTGATCTGCAACTAGTACAGTTCCATTCACCTACAACGTCCTCTCACAAGCTAATATCAGGTTCCTGGAAAGGACCGCCTTATTTACACAGAAAAATATCCTTCGTTAGTGAAATATCCAGTAATAATACATGGCAAAGCGACCGCAAAGGCAACCGGAATCCAATTAATACCTTCAAGTTTGCCACAGATGCTGGAATTAGAGACCACAATTGCAGAATCAAAATTGGATGTGATGTCCGGCCAAATCTCTTGCTGGCATGCAAACACATACCTTTTTAAGCTTTCCAAAAACTACCCCTATGCACATTTATCCAGACCAATCCAACAATATATCTTCAAAACTAAAGGATTCCTGACCAACGGTGAATTTGGCCCACGGTCATCCTGCTCAAGAACGGTGACTGAATATCAACCTATCAGCTATCGTCGATCAAGAACTATGCTTCAAAAGTACTGAAAGCCTAGCTAATTGCTCTTACTTTGCCCGATTATCACTCCCATCCACGGATCTCCCTCATATAAAGGGATCCCGATAACCGGCTAGTCGGGAAGCTACGTGGCGCGTCCCCAGGTGGCGGATAGGGGGTTAATCACGGACCAAAAGCTACCTTTGTTTCCCTGAGACAAAGGTGGATCCAGGGAATGGGCTCCCTGTTTCTGCCGCGCTGGCACGTACTTCCTGTATTCGTTAGGCGCATTCATGCACGCGTAGGTGTGGGTGCGCTCTCGCTTATGCGGATTGTATTCTACGAGTCAACTCGGCGAAAAGCCTGCAATCAAGAGACTGGGAAGTATATGGGAGGCGGTCAAAAGTCGTCTCCAACAAATAAGCTCCATGTCCACTCTGGGAGAGCCTGGTAAGCTACCCGTAAGTATACCCAGCCTCCACGTTCAGAGCCCAGCGAGCTATACCTGGGTATCAAAAAAGCTAAACACAGGGCCTCATTACCATGACCCCAAAAGAGTCCCCAATTCGACAGCGTTGGATAGGATGAGCACGGAGAAGCTGCTAAAATCTCAGGGCCAATGGAAGCTGCCTGGATCACGAGGAACTAAGGTGACGATCTGTACCTACAAAGCACGTACACTTGCATCCGAGTCCTCGATAGAAGACTTGCTCATGAAGGCAAGAAGGAGAAGGTACGACGTTATTGGCCTGGCCGAGACGAGACGAGTGCACTCACTCAACGCCGTTTATGACACCGCAGATGAACTGTCTGATGAACCTCACATTGGAACTGACAGATTAGAATGGAATGAACAGAGTGAGCGGCTCTCCGAGTTTATCACGACGACCATGATCAACCATGGTAACTTGCAATTCCAGAAGCTCCACCC